ACAAATTAAACTAGGTACTTGGGATATGCAAGACATAGCCCCTCCCCTCAACTTTACCTCTGTTTTTCCACTTATTTTCCTTCCTTTAATCACTTATCTGTACCTCCAAACATACCTACTTATTTGTAACAGAAATCTTTGTAAGATTTGTCCTTGTAATAGAAATCTTTTAATGTGTTTGAAAGAGTAAACGCCTTTGTATTCATTATATTTACTCTACATTTCCTATGTATCTCAATGCTATTATTAAAACCAATTTCCTAGAAACTGGAACACTAACTGGTTATATGATGCTTAAGGATTATTGTGTGTGTGTATGTCTGTGGTTTTGTTTTAAAAAATGAATCCTTACCATTTGATATATAAGCATCAAAGTACTTATGGATCATGGTCTCGGGGAACATCTAGCTCAACCGGCGTAACACAGGTTTCTAAAGAAAATGTTCTACAATCAACCTTGGTGAGCAGCATCTGGGGTCTTAAAAGCCTGTGAGCAGCCATCTAAGATACTCCACTGGTCTCACCACTTCGGGAGCAAGGGAGAATGAAGAAAACAAGATACAAGAGAAAAATTAGTCCAAAGGACTAATGGACCACAACTACCACGGCCTCCACCAGACTGAGTCCAGTACAACTAGATGGTGCCCGACTACCACCACTGACTGCTCTGACCGGGATCACAACAGAGGGTCCCGGACAAAGGTGGAGAAAAATGTAGAACAAATTCTAACTCACAAAAAAAGACCAGATTTACTGGCCTGACAGAGACTGGAGAAACCCTGGGAGTATGGCCCCCGGACGCCCTTATAGCTCAGTAATGAAGTCACTCCTGAGGTTCACCCTTCAGCCAAAGATTAGACAACCTGATAAATCAAAACTAATGGGACACAACAGTCCAGGGACAAGGACTAGAAGACAGGAAGGGACAGGAAAGCTGGTAAGAGGGAACCCAAGGTCAAGAAGGGAGACTGTTGACATGTCGTGGGGTTAACCATTGTCATAAAACAATATGTGTACTGTTCAATGAGAAACTATTTTGTTCCATAAACCTTCATCTAAACTACAATAAAAAAAAATTTTTTTTAACTAAAAAAAAAAGTACTTACGGATCAGATATAATTTCTGGGATTCATTTTGAAATAAGCAGGTGTGGATGGGGAATAGGGCAAGATTGGCCATGGGTACTGGGTCTGTTGGTACATGGAAATTTCAATATACTCTTATACCTATTTCAGTATTCTCTATTGATAAAAAGACGAAGTTTTATTAACTTGCTACTCTCGCAAGACCTCATACAGTATTTAGATGACTTCTGCCATTTAAATGGTGCTACAAAACCCAATACCAAAATACAAAATTATTATGTATTTTACTATATTATTAGGTATCTTAATAATAGTTACTACGTACTAGGCACCGTTAAAGTAATTTACATAAATTATCTCATTTATTCTTCACAACAAGTTTATCAGGTAGTTACCTCCAAAAGCTCACAAAAGTTGAGAAACTTGCCTAATATCACCAAGATGGAAAAAAACAATTTGTTCATTATCAATTCCTAATATAAAGAAAACAACTATTCCCACAAGTCAAACACAATAATCACATCCATAATGTATTTCATTTCCAATTTATCATTAGCTGTCAAGTAGACTTGACCCAAGAGAGATTGAAATCCATTTACATTTACCTAGTTAGGTCAATACTGGGTGGACTTAACATTTTATTTGCATTCATAACAAAATAAGTATAACACTAGCTGACGGTGCAGAGAGTCACTATTTACAGCCACAGGTTGGGGGAGGGAGGCAGGTTTAAAGGCAGCAGGTTGAGCTTTAAGGCAGCAAGTTTAGCCCTCTTAAAATGTTCGAGGGCCACGTACAATCACAGGAAATCTGGCCCTAAAGGTGACAGCAATCAATCCCCGACACGTTAGGGCATTGAGTACTCTGAGTAGTTCACAAACATACACAGATTTTAACAATTACTTTGCATCTTATATCAGCTTTAAGAGCTTCATGCGACTGTGGACTTGAATGCAGTGCAGTTCCTCAAAAATACCAATCCTTTCCTTAATGGAATTAGTGCTTTCCTAAAAATCACATGCATTTTTACAATGATTGCTACTGACTTTCACTAAAAATTTGAAGATATTTTCCAAAGAAAAATATTTAAATCCCAGGAAATAAAACTTAAGATTGCCTATTTGAATAGAATAGTTTTTCAGTTTGTGCAACCTGCTGGCTTTTAAAAAGGATTAGTTTCTTTGGCGTGAAAATAGGAAACACACAAATCTTTGCAGTCATAAATGAACACATGAGGATGCACACTTGCTGGAATACAAATCTCACTAAATAAGAATGTCAGCTAAAAACTCTTGGTAAAAGGAACGAGGAAAGTCTAAAAACGTTTTAAAGAAACTTCAAATCAATTCACTGTGTAACAAATCCAGTAGCAAATGTCTTTATACAATTTCTTTAAATGTCAGGCCCCTCCCCTAGCATATGTTAAATTATCTGATTTACAAGAATGTACATACAGATTCTCAGAAAATTGAGGTATTAGAAAATTAAGATATACAGCAAAGAGGTAGTCATGAAAACCCATCATAACTAAAAATGAGCTTATTTCTTGGCATTATAAATACATTACAAATAAAACTAAATTATTTCATTATATGTTATGGTGTTATTTTTTGTTTAATTGCAGAAGATTAATTTTGGCACTCCAGTGGTCTTATTTCTAGGTATTTTTCATATGAAGATTAAACTACTAACTTGCTATCGATAGCACACGTGTTTTGAGCTTTTTTTTCCAGCAGTGTGAATAGGCTGTACTAAGCCAGCCATGCTCTGTGGCCAGGTACTTCCCACCCCCATTTCTGCCCTTTTGATGAATTACACTCGACGACCAGCTAGAGTCAAGAGTGACATTCTGTGGCCATGGAACACAGCAACATCACTCTGGTTCTCAACAGAAACAAAAGCACTTGCCTTTGGCATTGTGAACATGAGTGATCTTGCAGAATTTCTAAAGTGAGTAAAGTACATATACCTTCATGTTCCAGTCTGACCACTGGTAAACAAATTTAGACTTCAAATTTATCTAAAATGAGAAACTATTAGGTTGAACTATGCAAAACATTTTAAGGTTAAAAAAGGTATGACAGTCTCATCAGAAACCAATTTTTGGCACCTGAATACATGCATCTTTTCAACCCAGAGCTTTCATATAATAAATGAAAGGACTGCTTTTCTTAGGAATATATCACAACAGGGAGAGGGGGGGTTGGACGCTGTATTAATGAAATAGATTGTCAACATGAACAGTTCAGCCAACACTCTTTGCTAAGCGGTCCTTTTTAATCATTCTTCTATTTTAATCAGTAGCATGGTCTTAAAAATCCTATTAAAAAATGCTTCCTCAGTTGTTATTACTGCTTAAGTACTATCGAAAGCTATAATGTCCAATACAGTAGCCACTAGCCACAGAGGGCTATTTAATTAAAATTAAAAATTTGGTTCCTTAGTCATACTAGCCACATTTCACATCATCAGTAGCTACATGTGACTATTGGCTACCATACCGGATAGCACAAAGAACATTTCCATCACAAAAAATGCTACTGGACAGCACTAAAGAAACTGCAGCCGTGCTATATGCTAACGAGTTTTCAATCTTATTCTTTAAAAGTTGTTTAAAAAGATTATGACTACACCTTTGGACAATACTGATCTTTGTTCATAGGTGTTCAAGAATGGTATCAACTTTCTGGTCTTTATTTAGACTGAATTTATGAAATACTTAAAAGTTCCATATGAGGCCCAAATAAATGCACTCAGATATTTTCACGATTATAAAAGAACAAAATGAAGATTTGCCATACATGATAAAAGTAATTTAGCACTTAACATGATTAAAACAGATCATCTCATCCTTCCACTAATATATAAAAATCAAGAAATAAGAAAGCAAGCATAACTACCATTTAAAGCTTTTCACAAGAATGGGGGAAAAACTCCTTTATATATTACTCTATTTTACTTTGGTGTCTTAGCAAGGAGAAAAAAAAAACAACAAACATTACTTACATAAGGAGGTAATGTACAAATAAATAGTAAATTAAAAACTGTCTTAGGAATTAATTGCTGTAACAACTAAAAAAATACAAACTTTTGGTTTCATGCATGCAAAAATGCTCTCATTTGTACTGGTATCTGATATATAAGAGTCAACTTTTTGTGTGCTTCTGGGGAAATCAAGTTCATATTATTATTTTCAAATTTACTTTGTTGGAAGACAAAGTAGAGAGATAACAATTGTATATTATTTCTTCTTCCAAGTAACTCCTGGATGGTAGGCAGGGAGTGGGGAACAGATTTTTTTTTTTCTTAGTAGGTAAAAGCAAAAACAACCCAATCATAAAATGCACACAGCTGTTTCTAAAAGAAAAATGCAAACACAACTTAACCATACTTTATTTGACTGCATCTTATTTAGACAGCTTGCACATTTCAAATCCCATTAGATCTGTCTCTCCAAAAGGATATGGGACAATAGAAGAAAATTATGCAGCAATATCCAGTCATCAAATAGCAGTCAATATTTTGAGATACACGTGATATTTTATACTCAACTCATATCTGACATCAATATGATTTATGGTTATGTTTTCACAAACCTGAAAGCCCTGTAACATTATAGCACTCAATTTTAGTGATGTCATGGTGCACTGAAAGTAATTCTGATGCACTACCAATTTGATTTTATCTATGCTCCTGGAAAGTGATGAACTTCATGATTTTTAGACACCATAATAAATATACACATCCAGTCTTATACATGTCAGCCAATACCATAACACAGGGCAAGGTAAAGTTAAAACATGTGACAAACAAACTCCTTTACATAGATTTGTCAAGCAAGTGAGGAAGGTAATTTGGGGAAAAGAGGCAGAAAATATTAAAACCAATTTTTTAATAGTAGGTTTTTTTTTTTTTTCCTTATTTTGCTGGCTTCAACTTCAAAAACTACTGTCAGGTTTCTGATCTGTGGACTTGATAGTTTCATCCTAATGTAAGGGAAATTGTAATCAGCCCACACATCAAAAATGGTAGTATACCCGTTAGCTTCTTCAATACTAACATATATAGCTTCATGGTAGCCTGTATAAAAATGTTCAGCAGTAGCAACTGCCAAACCAGTGTCAGTGGATATTACAGTCAGTCTTAAAGAGGCAGCACCCCATTAAAAGAAAGTTGCACCAATTTTGCTCAGTTTTAGCCAAGTGAACCTACTCTATCAATTATAAATGAAATTGTTTTAAGGTTATATAAGAAAACAAAAGCCCAAGATCAAAAAGTAAATTAATGTTGGATGCTATTTCAACTTGAATGGAGACTTAATTCTGGTGTTGGGTTATCATGCTTGAGATTAAAATTTTAGTCTACTTAAGTAAACAATTTTTGCATACTCAATTATAAGATACAAGGTGCACACTGATATTTAACACACCAGGTGAACAATATGGCAACCATCTGACTTTTCAGTCACATGTTGTTGCTACTGTTGGATGCTGTGGAGTTGGTTCTGACTCAGTCATGTAGTTAAGGTCGTATTTACAAAACGCCCAGTGAATCAGTTCAATTTGGCAAAACTTGGTCAGTTCTGGGGGAAAAAGTTAGTTGTGATGGTTTCATTGACAGCTTGTCAAAAACATAAAAATGGCTGAATTGGAAATCTAGAATGTATCTACTTTAGAACTGTCCCCATTAGTGAGTCAAGCACATGTATGTTCATCAATAATCCTTACCTCTGAACCAGCAAGTTAAATATAAAGTGGTGAAAAAAAACTTGATGAACATAAGTAAACTGTTTTAGTTCGGTTCTCTCCATCTTAACAATAATAACCGAAGCACACTATGACTTACGTTCTTCTAAATGCCGGAGCTCAAATGAGGTCTGACTGAAAACATACTCAAAATGCACAGCTAAAAAGCCAGGAGTATTGTGTAGTCATCATATTTTTAATGGAACCAGTTTTCTGCCCATTAAACTTTCAAGAGCAATACAAAATGGAAAGAAAATATTTTCTTTAAAAATAAGGAACTAAAAATGATCCCACCAGCAGGAAGTTTTTATTTTCATCAAATATAAATTGTGTATTTTTAGTTTAAAAATACTTGTTACCATGTTCACTTTCAGGACACTATACTGAGCAAGGAGCAGCTTTCCTTTAAAAAAAAAAAAAAAAAAAAGGCAACAAACTTTCCTGAAAGGGGGCTTTTACCAACTGTTAATGGAGGTAGGGTTTTTAAAAAATACAGTAATTATAGCCATAAAATAAAACAAAATTCAAACCAAATCCTGGAACAGAAGGCATATCCAAATTTAAAAAACAGCAACAACATAGATTACCACAAAACATCTTCACAGAGAATGAATCTTTTTTTTATGGGTACATAGGCTTTCCAATTAAATAAATAATCCATCACAGGTTTACTGACTCAATTCAAAGCAATTAACTTTAACATTTGTTACATTGAAGATTGATAAATTGACCAAAACACAATGTAACTAATGAATGTGGTGATGGCTGTTAAGAAAACCCATAGAACTCATTCCAAAAAAAGATTTCTATTTCTCCCTTTTGTTTTTCTGGGGAAAAAAGCAATACTCCCCAAGAATTTGCTTGTGTAAGTGAAAAGAAAATAAAAGCAGCTAAAAACGGATACAATACACCTTGAAATTTATTTCTAAGACCAAGAACCAAAAGTGAAGCATTTCAAGAAAAGGAAGCAATGTGAATCCAAATCAACTGGGTAATTAAAGTTCCAACTGCTTTGTGAAAGCTGTTCTTCACAGCTTAGCAATAATTTTGATTAAATAAAATCATATGAATTTACATTAATTTTCTATTCTTTTCCAAAAATCCCTCTCTCAAAAAAAAAGTGCATCCAAACCCCAGCAACTCGTGGCTCTATTAATTTTTCCTATTCCCTTTGAGCCATTTCTCTAAGAATTTCCAAGTAAATTCAACATCTTACTATAAAGAAGGGACTTCTAAAGTAAACCACTCTGTCTCTCACCTGAAAAAAGTATCCAAATTATAAAAATCTGAAATAATTTATTATCAAATTTAGAATTTAAATAAAAACAAAAGTTTGTTTGCAAAAGTCTTAAAAGAAAGGAAAAGATAGCATGCATTCAAAACTAGAGATGAAGACAAATATTCTTATCTACACAGGCACTGGCAGACGCAATTTAATTATCTTTACTCATTGTAAGACACACCCCATCCTACATTTTTTTTCATTCACTAATCACTGAGGTACCAATATTCAAGAATGGAAAATTTAATATTGAAAAAAATAAAACCTAAAATTGAAGCTTTCCCCCCACCCCTCCCAGAAAACTATGGCAGGTTTCATGTGAAATGTTAGTATACTTAGAGATTTTTACAATCTACATTGGCTTTTTTCAGGAACAAAAATCATGTTCAACTTACTGGTTCTGCCGTAAAATAATCACTGTGTAAGTAACATTGTCAGCAGATTTTGCAAATGAACAAACACATCTTGGCTATCAACTGGCACATCTTGTTGGTACCAAAAGAACTCCTGAAGTTTGAAACAATTCTTTTAATTCAGAACAAACGCGCCATGCCAAAGTGCAACAAATATTGTGCGACACTCAGTGAGACACTTTGACAGATAAGAGCTGCATGGAAATCACTAAATCCACCTGCAAAGCAATTCTGTACAAATTGCACTGCATGCAAAGGCCGCTGCTGCGTGGTTGGACAGCTGTTCCTCAACGTCAGTTCCTCAACGCAGCCACAGCTTAAGTCGCAGTGCATCAACTCCATTTAAATAGTATCTGAACAGCCTCTTATCTCGAACAAAACCAAGATTTTCATAAAGTTTCAAAGCAGATTTATTTGTTATTTCTGTTTCCAAAACAACCTTCAAAGAAAAGAGAAAAAACTAAGTTACAATTTTATATATCTGAAACTAAGTTACAATTTCATAATTTGAAAAAAATACTTACAAAGTAAACAATCAGATCAAACATTTAAGAAAAACATACCACAATGGATTTTTCTGATATTTGGAATTTTTAGCAATGACAATATATCGGTTTCATACAGAAAAAAATATAATTTCCTTGTGGAAAAAAGAGTGACAAGAAGATGAGAAGAAAAAAAGTCAACAATAAGAGGTTTAGGAAAATAAACCAGTATTTGAAAACTACTGAGATTGATCTCCAACTCCTATGTTTTCATTACTTTGTCATCATTTATCCTGATGATAACTGTAATATTTGTCTGGAATCTAGACCAGATGTCGGCGAAGAGCCCTTGGACCAAACTCTGCCAGTCTCCGTAAAGTTTTATTGGAACATAGCCACGCCCATTTGTTTACATGTTGTCTATTGCTGCTTTCTCCATACAAGGGGAAACCTGAGTAGTTGCCACCTATACCTATAGTCACAAAATGTAAAATATTTACTATCTGACCCTTTACTGACTAAGTTCAATGCCTCACATTTTAAATGTGCACCATAACCACCTGGGGAGTTTGTTAAAATACACTGCTGAGCCCCACCCCCAGTTTCTGGGTAGGTTGAGGGTAGGGCAAGAATTCACATTTTTAACAAATTCCCAGGTGATGCTGATGCTGCTGGTTAGGGGACCACATTTTGAGAACCACTGGTCTAGACATTCTGGATTATCAAAACTTAACAGAGGAATACACAGCATTAACTTCCATCTGGGTCTTTGTAAATATTACTGGATCAGTGGCCTTGACAATGAAGAATTGATACTTTTGAACATTAAGTGTGATTTTCTTTTTTTAATGTATTTCTACCTCCCTCTACAAAAACACCCTTCTGCTCCCTTCTCCCAAGTTTTATATACATAGCTTTACTTGCCTTTTTTATTGAACCTCAACTTACCCCATTGAGAATTATCATGAGCCACTGTTACTGTTGGGGTGTCATAACCCTGAGGTACTTGGAGTGGCAGGGGTGAGATGGCAAAGAAAGATTAAACAAAGGCCCAAGCAAAGCATACGAATTTCTTCCTGTTCTACCTCAAGCTATCAAAAAATCAGACAAGAATTCAAGCAATAGATGTAAATAATATCCAAAACTGAGCTCATAATCTGCTCCTCTTCCACAGTTCCATACCTCGGTGAACAGGATCTCCATTCCAAGGGCTCAATCCTGAAACCCAGGAATTATCCTTGAACCTCTCTCTTCCCCTCTGCATACATCCAAGCACTAATGTCAATTCTGTATTGAAAATAATTCTCTAACTGGTCCTCTTCTATTTCATCGATACCGCCTAGTTCAAGCTGCCATCAACTCTCATAATCACAAGAGCCTCCTAATTTGTCTCCCATTCTCTACAAATAGTTGAAATGGTCACTCTTGTTGGGTCCCTGCTTAAAACCATTTATTGACTCCCTTTTAGTCTCAAGATAATGTCTACAACCTAAAGAGATGTAAACAGCCCTTCAAGATACAGCCTCTACCTACATCTATAGCTTTGCTTTAGGTATCTCTCCCTTTGCTCCCCAAACTCAACAGAAACTTTGTTTCTGGAACCCACCATGATTGAAAATTTCCCACCTTAGACCTTTCATTATCAGCTGTTTTCTCTGCCTGGAAGAATGCTCTTCCTATCTTCCTCCCTTTTGGCCTTAGCTTGTCACTCCAGATGGGGTGGAGTATCCCCCCCCTTTTATACTACCCTTACACTGATCCTAGCAAACACTATTATCCCACACTTGATGAGAATGTCTTCTCTCCTAACTAGTGATCCCAAGGAACACAGGGACCATGCATATCTCCTTCACAGCTGCTATGCTTTTAAATGACCAGAGTACTTAAAGAGAATATTTTATATCTGTATCACTTTCAGCTGATCTATGTAATGAAGGAGATGAGAGACTTCATAGATGTGGGTTATAATATGCATTTTCCACTAAAACAAGCAACAGAAAAGTGATAGACTGCACCCTGTCAAAGGTGGAAAACTTGTTCTACCACGAAAAACAAGGCCGTCCCGTCAAGTTCTGGCTCTCAGGTCTCACTGTATTTTCCACTAAAACGAGCAATGGAAAAATGCTAAGACTGTACCCTGTCAAAGGCAGAAAACTTGGGAGACCCGAAAAAACAAAGCAGTCCTGGCAAATTCCACTCTGAGACTTCACTGTAAATAAAATCAGAGAAAGCATCATCTTGAAAAACTCTCAAAAATTCTGGGGGTGAGGCTCATTAATCTATTTTGACAAACCCTCCAGGTGACTGTGTGCACACTAATTTGAGAACTCCTGGTCTGGACCAGGGGTTGGCAAACTTTTTCTATAAGGCAGAGAAAGCATCATCTTGAGGCAACTGCCTATGCAATTAACTCACAAAAGCAAATCAAACCTTCAAAAGATATAAAACAAACAGTAGTTCAGGATCAATGGAAAAAGTCTCTAGGAAGAACTTAAAGTTGTACAGCAATCAAATTGGTTTAAGATAAGAATTAAAAGTCAACAATTTAATTTCTCTCTTCTCTTAGGAAAAGAGAATTTAATTTTTAGTAATGTATGCCATACTCCAATCTGGAATACAAGTCTGGTCAGTACAAGATTTCAGTTTTGAATATTACTCTTGGTAGTTCCTGAAATTCTTTTAATAGCTCAGCACGTTAACCACAGATAATTACAACTAAAATGTTAAATCTAAGCAATTAATATGGGAAGCACTAAAGCTCTAACAACTCAAAACTTGGAAGTGATTTCACAGAAATAAAAATGAGACAATTTTAAATAGCTAATATTTATTGAAAACTTATTATGTGCCATGTAAAGCATTTCACAGTCATTCCCTCATTTTATTTTCACAATAACCCTGTGAAATAGATATTACCTCCATTTTACAGATGAAGAAAACCCAAGGCCACCAGTAGAGAAAGGACAGACCACAGTCCAAACCTGAGCTAGAGTTTAATAGTAACCACTCTCCTGTACCTCCCTAATTGTTTCCCAGAGTAAAACAACGCAGCAAATGGGAAAAGATATACAATGAAAGGGATCTAAGTCCACCTTCATTAATATTTAGCAATCTAAGAAATTTAATACACATCTGAGGCTAAACCAAAACTAGTTACATGCTGAGTCAATTCTGATTCATGGCAACCGCATGTGTGTCAGAGTAGAACTGTGTGCTCCACAGGGTTTTCAATGGCTGATTTTTTGGAAGCAGACTGCCAGACCTTTCCTCTGAGGTGCCTCTGGAAGGACTCAAACTTCCAACCTTTCAATTAGCAGCCAATCTTGTTAACCATTTGCACTACCCAGGGACTCCTGAGGCTACCTACGGCTGCAAAAATACAATTTGAGGTGTGGTTAAGAGTTTGTATTCAGGTTTGTTACCATCCTAACACATTAATGAAATAAAGTCCAATTACACAGAAAAAAAATTACACAAAGGGCTAAACTTAGTTAAAATGTAAAGATGCTTGGCACACTCATATTTTCTAAACAAAGAGATCATGAATTTCTTGACACAACAGAAAATACCACGAAAAAAGTAACTTACTTTTTAATACTTAATCACTTAAATTCTTATAAACACATTAAAAGGGAACCTGGGTTTATACGGAAACTCAGTATAAAGTTATTTTGTTGGTTCACATTATGAGAACATATAGGAAACCAAAGGATAATGAAGTCATTTGAGTCCTAAATTCTACTTAACAGATAAAACAGGTTATAGTTTAGTTCCACTGATTCCCTTAGAAATAAAAAATTATCAATGTAAGTCAGACCATTTAACACATGTTTTCATACTGTAGGCTGGGAGCACTTGGAGGGCTGCTTTGTTCACTGCCAGATCCTAAGCACTAGCACAATGGCTGGCACCTGGCAGATATTTGCTGAACGAACAATAAAGTTATTCTTTGTTCTTCACAACATCCTTTTAAGATAGGAATTACCATCACGTTGCATAAAAAGACTGACTAGAAAAAGTTAAATGACTTGCTTACAATGACACAACAGAAGATGCATCTAGAACCCAAGTTTCTCAAACCCTCAAATTACTCAAAAACCCCAAATCCATACAGCTTAACCCCATTTTATTGTTCTTCATCTGCAGCCTTATCTCATAGCCAAAATATGTTTCCAGTGAAACTAAAAATGTTAAACATATAATTCTTAAACACAAAAAGCTAATAAGTCATTGCTGTACATTGTCAGGGGGAAAGTATGATGGGATCTTTTTACCCATACATATTTTTATATTTTAACCAAAAATAACTTACATCTCTTTGGTTTCTAATAATCTAGTTTAGTCACTACTTATAGTGGACTATTACATAATCTGGAGCCCTGGTGGCACAGTGCTTAAGCACTCAGGCTGCTAACCAAAAAGATGGGCAGTTCGAATCCACCAGCCACTCCTTGAAAACCCTATTGTGCAGTTCTACTCTGTCCTATAGGACTGCTGTGAGTCGGAATCAACTTGATGGCAATAGGTTTGGTTTGGTTTTTTATTATATAATCTGCCTAGAATTTACCAAACTGCCTTTTGCAGAACCTATATATTGCTAGAAATAAGTAGTATTAGGTCCAGCAAATTATGTTGTAGGGAAATATCTACATCTGAATAGCAAACTGTAAACAGTCTGCAACAGGCCACATTTATAAAAGGCAGAAACTACATATCAAAACTATAAAGGATTACAAGAAAACACCAAAATGAATTTACTAAAAAGGTAAGGTAAGTGGTGGGCTTTCTTCTGTTTTCCGTGATGTTTATTACGGTTCTCCAATGGGAAAATGTTTTTAATGTAAATAGCAGTTGAAAGATTATATGACATGATTTTCAACTACAAATGTTTTACAGTGACATCCTGCACACTTTCCATTCAGAAATTATGATTCCATTGTATTCTCATCATATATGATAATTAGCTGTGGGTATGAATACCATAGTAGTCATACCTTAAATTTAAAAAAAAATTCTGAAAAATAAATTCTCAGATATGACAATTTCAAGGACATTTACAGCTTAGGAAGTAAAACACTGCTCATCTCGCTGTTAATCACCTGACATATTCTAATTTATTTAAGGAAAAAAGTGCATAAAAGTAAATGGCTACCTTGCAGGTTCATTATTTTAGGAAGACAGATGCTACTTTAAAAATTACATTTTAGAAAACTCTTTTATGCTATGCTTATGTATATATCTTACTCTTTCTTAATGTGGCACACAAACCCAAGCTAATTATCCTAACCACTACACATTTGGCAGCCAGAACATGTAGGTATATAATCAAATTCAAGCCAGATCAGCATATGGATAATGCATTTCTTAATCACCAAGCTACGCATCCACTTGTTTCTTTTTTTCATGGTGTAACTTTTTAGTCAGTCCTAAATAATGTAGAAAATGAAGAAGATTTTTAGCTATGTTCTTTTACTATGTCTAATTCTAAATGTTGAGAAAATCATAGTAAGGCAAAAGGAAAACATCTATTAGACTAGGACAGTATAGCAGTGATATTTGGGGAAAAAGCAATCTACATTTCAAGTCTATGATTACTGACTTTGGCTTAACTTACTCTGAACTTATCTTAAAAGGACAAATGGCAATATAAACGTGACTCAGGTCACAAATGAATTCTGCAAATAAAATAAAAAGTAATAACTGATTGTATGTACATGGTAAGGCTTCACAGAAGATTTCCAAGAGTATCTGTGTTAACGGGTCCACAGATTTAAAAACCTCTCTCCTTGTAAGAATAAAAAAAAAAAAAAACAGCAGCACAAATAACCTAAGTAGTAGCAAATATATTTAAAACCTTTCTCAATTGTCTTTCTGATCCATTTTCTAATAATTTGTCAAAATTTACTGACCCTTTAAAAGAAAGGAACATTGGCCTAATTAAATGAAAGTAAAATCACATGTTTATGGTTTTGTAATTGGTCACTGTATTCTTGAAGAATTATAATTTCGAAGTCTTCCTAACAGCAACAAATTATCTAAAGACATTTTCACGTATAACTTTGCCTTTTACCAAAAGGCCACCAAGTTCTACTATACCAAAGGTTTCTCAAGTTTTTTAAAAACTTGGTTAACACTGCAAATACATTTATTTTTATCTCGTCTGTTATGTACAAAAATAAATAAGAAATTCCTGCTCCTAGAAAGATTACAATAGAATCAGAGAGAAAGACAAGTTAACAATTAATTACACAGGTCAAAATTCAAAAGTACTTTAAAAAATGGTAAAAATAACATGCTGGAAAAACAGAACAACTCATCTAACAAATATTTATGAACTACCTACTATATCACAAAAGCCACACTAAGTACTAAAAATAGTGCAGTAAACAAGAAAAGGCATCTCTGCCACCACCACCCCCCCGCCCCAGAACCTAGATTAGTGGCTAAGGCACAGACACTGAACAAGCACATTTAAGCACAATGAGTATTACAAAAAAGAAGTCAAGAAAAACAGAGAAAAAGGTACAACTGATTCTGTCCAGAAGGATCAGGGAAAACTTAAAGGAGATGTTGGTATTTCAGTTGGATTTTAAAATATTTTAATAAGCAATAGAGACATTCAATAGGGTAAAATACAAGCAGGATGAGGAAAGAAGAGAAGGTCCTAGATCTAAGCAAGCACATCAGTGAGGAAGTAGTTACTGTGGATTTGGAGGGATCAGAAACCAAATGGGATGAAATGATGCGTAAGTGGAAGCAAGAAACAGACAACTCTCAAAAATTAGAAAAGGAAAAGGGGATAGAAGGACGATGCTTGTATGGTTTACAACTTAATGCAAGGAGGAATAAAAGCCTTATAAATAGTAAATAAGAGCTCTGTGCCTTCCTACAGCAAATTCTTTACCTGAATGATGTAAGACACAGATCATCCCCTTCTTTTTAAACAGGTAAAAGTTCGCCAATCCAGAGGCAGAACTATTCAAACTGCAAAAGCTATCCATTTAAAACCATACAGCAGGAAAAAGTTCATCCCCATTTCAGCCTAAGATTAAGTAATACTCTTTATTTCAAAAGTAAGAAAAATGAATCGGCATTAGATTTTTAGGCCGACAATGAAAAGGGTATTTTTACCATAAAATGTATCACTAATTTAGGATTTAACTGTGAGACTAAAATAATATAATCAAAATCTCCCTAACAGTCCTCAGAACTCTCAAAGAAAAGCCAGTACTATTTAAACAGTTGATTAGGTAAAGTAAAGCACAAAGCCTACCTCACAGGTAATGACTAGAATAACTCAGAAAAGGCTTAACCATAGGAACGTAACACTCTCTGCTCATAACATCCCTATTCACTTTATTGCTTGTATTGCTCATAAAATTACTAGTAGAATGTGACTCTCCTTGTTCTGACTTAGTCATCATTGCTGTATTAAAGACATCTGTACTTCTCTACTTTATAGTTGTTCTCCACATTGCACACTAGTAAATGTTAACATCCTCATCATCACCAACATTTACTGAGCACCTATCATATGTAAGCACAGTACTACAGGATACAAAGAAATTATACCTGCCTTCAGGCCTTACAAACTAGCTGGAGAGAAGATGCATTTAGGTTAATACACAGATAGCTCTACATTCTTCCCCCTAGCCTTATTATTATTTAATGCTTACAGATTTTTTCAAGTGTGAAATGTCCTTCATATGGGCTGGTAGTTTCCCTATGGTAAAAAAAAGTGTTATTTAGAGGGAAACTACCCAGTAAGTACTGCCCAGCATAGTAGGCCTTAAACATTTAGAAAAACTTACCTCATCACAGTCTCCTTCAACCATGGCATATATAGCTTTCTTAACCAAGTTAGTACCTAGAATATAGATCTGAGTATTAATGAAGGAAAATATAATTAGTTTCTTAAAGATACCTAAATTATATTCATAATAAGCACAGAAATGTCAAATGCTGAAGTCTATCTGGAATGCAGATACATAGATTATCTTGTATTAAGTGGGGAAAAATTAAGATGTAAGCCAACAGAGTAAGACCTGCACATAGCAATATAAGTTTCCTCATGAAAGACCTATCTCCTAATATAATCCTTTATCTCAGCTGTAACTGTTTGACCCAGGCAGGGGTTTGTGCTATTCCAGTTGAAGGTGGGAGGAAAGGAAAAAAGAGAAAGGCAAGATATGGTATGGACAGAGAAACCAAGAACTCCTTGAGCTGGTCAGAACTTACTACATACCCTTTGAGCCAACCGTGCCAAAGATCTTCCAAACCCCTGGACCCAGGGCAAAAGACAGCCTCACCAGAGCTACTATGCCCCAGAGTGGGCCTAAGACACTGAGTCAGTTCCTACAAATCCTTGCAGTGAGCCTGGGCACAATGATGTCTGGCAATCCCAAACGATGGCAGTGGTGTGTCTATAAATGTCTAGCAAAATGTATCCTACTTTAGGGCCAGATATATTTGGTATATTATAGAAAAAACCAACTGCCAAATCTGACTTTAGAAGAAGACAGAAATACATATTATAACAAATTTCCTAATTTTAAAACTACACACACAAGCGCATGGGGCAAACAATTATGTCTGAAGGCCAGGATGCAACCTTCAAGCCGGTTTAGGCTCTCTGAACTAGCCAAACAATTGCTTTCTATTTTCCATGAGTCCTTATCAACTTTTTAATACATCAAAGACTCAACCTTGGTCTATATAACAGGCCCAACTTGAAAGAGTAAACCAACATATTAAGTTTAATATGTTAGGTTTAACCAACTTTCCTTATAGTGTTACAGTTTACTACTAAATTGTTAACACTACAAGGAAAGTTGGTTAAATCTAACACATTAAGTAAACCTATTCATAATGATTCCTCATGTGTGAAACAATCTTAAGTTGGACAACAACACAGATATATTTAGTTTAAGAATAACCACAAATGGTTATTTGTGGTTAAAATTAAATACTGCTACAAGCAACAAATATGCTTTCATTAATACTTAGCATAGGTATATCCCAGAATTTGACATGCTCAGAGAAGTGCCTGTCTACCTGACCCTCCATCTTAAACAAAGACCCAGTAGGTCCTAGACACTAGGACAGTGGTTCTTAACTAGGTGTATATCACTGTCACTTGGGGAAGTTTTAGCCCTACCTCTTGACAGGACAAACAAGATTATCAGGGGGAGTGGCCTACGCATTAGTTTTTAAACCACCCAAATGATTCTAATGGTCACTATGAACCATGAGTATAAAGATTAACTTAACATGTCAGGAAAGGCAGACCCAAGAAAGAGATGAGTTCAGGAATAGTAAGAAACAGTCAATTCTCCTTTCTTTTGGTCCTCCATGAACTGTTAATGTAATGTTTGATGACTAGCACTGAGTAATGATAAAAATGTCTCCATAATTTTGCCTTGATTGAGGTCCACTTACTCCAAGTATAGACAGCTGTCTGAGGGCTGGGCTCAAGTGCCCTAAAAATGCTATAAAAACTTCAGTACTTCCCATAGTACTTAGTAAAATGCAAAACAAGTTTTTGTTTTTTTAATTGTGATAAAAATATATATAACAAAACATTTGCCATTTCAACCTTTTTTACTTGTACAATTCAGTGACGTTAATTACGTTCACCATGTTGTGCAATTTGCAAAAATTTTGAATGGGATCAAAAAGTTCACCTGCTACTTGTTAGAAAGATAATCTCTTGAACAATTAAAACATTAACAAAGAAAACAATTCAGTTTAAGAACTTTCTGAAAATACTATCTTGAAATTAAAAACAACCTATTAATTTTCTTCCCCTAGCTTCATGTTCATTTCTAATATTTACATTTAAGTCTTTTGTTTCAAAAAACACAAATGAAAACAATCTGTTCATTCTTTTAGCAACATATTTTTCTTACCAATGCCATTTCTCCTGTATTTGGAATCCACAGCTAACATGGCTATATAACCTCTGCGGAACATCTTTTTGTGCATATCCAACTTGCAAACGATGGCACCTACACACTCCTCCCCTACCATTGCCTTAAAAATAAACAAACAGTTATGAAGAATACATTGCCATCAGGTACTGCACAATTACTCAGTGAAAACAGCAACCAACCACTGCTCAGCATTTTTGAGGGAGGAAGAGGTAATACAAACTTAATGAAAGACGCAATCAAGTTAGTTTCAGATACCTAAACCCCAGGACTCCTTCAAGTGTTCTAGTTCTAAAATCTTTCAATATTCTTTAGGACATGAATTTCTTATGCTTATTATGAAAGCCTAAAGGAAGAAGAGTTCTACAAGGTACATATTCAAGGACTTATATATAAGGCACTTAGAATTACAATTATTTGCAATAAAGACCAAGATGTCTAAGTCTTGAGAAGAGGGGATATGTGGAAAAAATATAGATTTTAGGAAAAATCCTATTCATTAGGATATGTTAAAATATTGTAGGATGTGCTTATAAACAGAGTACTGTAAGTTTATCTAATTATAATAAGCTTTAGTGAAAGACAGATATAAGACATGATCCTTAAACCTGAATGGTAGAGTTAGATTTTGATCAGGAAAAGAAATGTAAAAATTTTTCAGAAAAGGGGTTGTTTATAAGGTATTGCAAAGATCCTACCTGAGGAGTTTTTGTTACTGAAATTCTACAAGACTTCATAATGGTCTCAATTTTAGGATACTCCTGACAGTGTGGGTCACTGTCATAAAAAATACCTATAGCTCAAAATAATCAGATGTAGCAAAAGCTTTGATGTAATGATTTTACAGAGCATACTACTTTAATAAAAATGTAGAGCTTTTCAGAATGTTGAAGGTTACACATTAAATAAATGCTAATCACCCCCTATTTTCATTAAGAGTTCCACTGTCACCACTGAAAATGTTTTTCAAAATTTCCATCACTGGTAAAAAGTTTTAGTAATACTGTATTCTGGTAAATATAAATAGGGAAATATAGTCAACTGTTTAATAGTGTGTCAGCATGAAATATTTGTTTGCTGTAAAGTACCCTCATTAAGAATATGAAAACCCTCAAAGTAGCTATTAATACAATTAACTTTCCAGAGGAAACTATTTCAACAACAACAACAAAAATAACAGGAATGGATTAAAAAATCAATAAGCAAAGTCTCATTTATACTTAATACATATTTTAACTTAAATCTGTTGTGACTTTTTTTCTTTTTAAAGTGTGGAGAAATTTTTTAGGCAATTCTAATCCATTTCATGCAAACCTAAACTATGTCAGAAAAATCCTTTTGAAGGGATATTAAACTCAATAACCCTCACTAATTGTTTTGTTTTGTTGCATATTCCAAAGCTATTTTGGGTCAATAAGCCTCTGAAATTTTTATTACGTTTTTCTCACTTAAAATCAATCTGCTTCTTTAAAAATTATTTTGAAAACTGAAATTTCTTTCTGTATTTAAGAGCTGAAATATACACAAAAGCTGCCTGAACAGCTCTGATTGCGTTTTCTGATTTGAAAACAGCTCACTCAATTATCTGTGTGTATGCATATGCACATACATACACACATACCATATAAAATCATCACAGACCAAATGGTACATTGAAAAGAGCCAGAATATTTGGGGGCCTGGCCTCCTAAGCTTGACTCATGTGAAATGGATATCTATGTAAGTTCTATGATAGAAACTGTAAGATAGCTACACCTTACAATTAATAAAGCCATATAAAAAGGAGAACCAAATTAAAACCACTAAGCACAATACACAGCTGGACAGTACTTTCAAATCGGACAGTAATTTCAAACATATCTTTGTTTTTTGACCAAAGAAGTAATAAGCAAACAGTACTAGTTCACTCTACATTGGACTAGATTTTTTTTCCTAATTAAGAATCTGCAGGAGCAAAAATCAAGTTGTACGCATTATTTAAAAATAAAAGCCCAATACAGTCATGCGCCGCATATACGTCCATGGTCCCATAAGGTTATAATAGAGTTCAGGAAACCCAATCTGAGAATGGATGTAGCGGATTTAGGCATGTCGCACTTGACAATCACAATGATCCTCAAAAACAAAGAAAAAATTCTCCAAGCTGTTAAAGGATCAGCTCCACTGAAAGCTGCTAGGCTAATGTAAATGTGACAGGGTTCTACATCAGGTATGGAGAAACTGCTAATGACATGGATTCAGGACCAAACAAAAAAGCAAATCCCTCTCAGTATATTGATGATCACTGCTAAGGCAAGAAGCTTGTTTGAGATGGTTAAAGAAAAAGCAAGACCAGGTTACAGTACCAAGCTTAGTGCTAGCTCTGGGTGGTTCAAGTGCTTCAAACAATGTTTTTCACTGCATAATGTGAAAATGAATGGTGAGTCTAAGTGCTGATGTGAAGGCAGAAGAATTTGTTGAAACCTTAGATAAACTAATCGTAGAGGGAGGTTATGTGGCCCAGCAATTTATTATGGATGAATCCTTATTCTGGAAGTGAATGCCTGAAAGGATCTTCACTCATAATAATATGGTGTTCACACGACTTCCAAATCACATAATGTCCTATGTCACAGAACACATCGTGGACGTTAGGCGACCCATGACTGTATACATAACACATTGTTAATAATTAAGATGTTGGTAGTGTGGAATGCCAATGTTGCATTTCTTCCTGATAAACTACTGATGAATACACACTTAAAATAATCCCTAAATTGCTTATCAATTTTTCCAAATAAAAGTTTTTGCACATACATTTGGAATTCATGCTACTAAATGCATTCTTTTTTTTCAAGGATAGGAACTGAAAAATCCCTGCAAGGTTAAGACTTAACTCTATAAGGCCAAATACATACAAAACCATGAAAAATATGAATTGTATGAACTAGAGATTCCTAAATTCCAGAACACTACAAATAGGAAACAGGAGGAAGCCGGAAAGTTAAATTTAGAACAAAAGGAAGTATTATATTAAATAGCTGGTAGTAAATTTAAGAACTTCAAAAAGGCACCAACACTGAAAATACCATGAACTCAAAAACGGTAGACAGTTAAATACAGAGGGACTGACAGTGTCTCCCATTTCTACAGTACTCTACTTTCACATCTGTTACAATTATTTAGAAGAATCATAAAAACTGTCGTTTTTGTTAGTCAAGATGGTCAGGTATTGGCAGTTTTATCAGGCAAACCCTATATATTTCATTTGATCCATTACAGGCTACCTAAGGAAACCAGGAACATTTTGGAGGTTTCTAATCTCTGAAGATTGATGTTTGTAAGGACAGCTGCCCCTCAGTGAAACATAACTTGGTGACACAATGATCTTGGCTGAATGGGTGAAAGGTATGTCATTTTTCAAGTTCTTACTTTGTTACCATAATGCCAATTAATACCTGAAGATTTAAACATGTTAAGTCACTCTGATCCTTATTTAAAAAAAAAAAAGAAGTTGAGCTAGATTATGTAGGCTCTCTCTCAGTTCTAAAAATGATATGATTTTTTAAAATACACACTTAACAGTTTTTAAAAATTAGTTATGGGAAGTTCAAATTTAAAAGTATGACAACATGAAGACCCCAGTTCTAAGTGGCCCAGTTCTGAGTTTTTTTAACTATTGTTTTATTGTTTAATACCTTGATTCATACTTGTACCAACAAATCTTACAAGTTAACCACTTATGCATATATCAATTTCTAGATATTCAGAATTTTATACATACATTAAACAAACTTTAGCTATTAAGGGCTAAAGTCCAAATTAGTCAGCAAATTGGTAGAGGTCTATATAAAATCAAGATTGAAGTTTACTAGGTTTATCAGAGTCTAAAATTGGCAGGCAAGTTGATAGGCACCTAGGCTATTATCAGAACTCAAAAGTTTACTAAGTATCATATATACACACTATTTTCTGGAATTGGAAGAAATACATATACTATTTCAATTTAAAATGTGACTCATTAAAAAAAATAATAAAATAAAATGTTACTCATTTGTATGCTTTTGTGGGTTATCTTACAATTAAATCAATCTACAATTTTTTAGCAATTACAATGACATTTGATATGACATTTGTAACAGTGCTCTAAAATCATTTTCCCATATTCATTGACAATGATATATCTTAGAACTTCTATTTTGATACAATGCTTAGAATCCTGTGTAAGAGCTTTCTAGAATATAAAATAGTTGCCATAGTTTAAACAAACATACTAAATTGAACTTTAGCAAAGTGAATACAGAAAACCTACATACAGAACTGCCATTATCTACACCACATTATATTTTCAGATTACAACTAAGCTATAGAATCAAAAAGATGGATTTCTAAGGTATTGTCAAAATGTCTTGCAAGGAATTACTAAGTACAACAAAGTCAATGCTAAGACAACAAATAATGGTGGTGGCTTTTCTGTTCACATTAAAAAAATACTCCTTAAAAGTATGTCACCTTTCTTTAGTAAAATGCAATGGAAACAATATGGTTGTGAGTACATGATACAAAGCACATATCTGCAGTCAATATTTAAATGAAAGGTCTCATCAAACTGAAACGGGCCAATATAACTGGAAAGAAATTAATGGTACTGCCATTTCTTTCATCTTAAATTTTAAAACTAGACTTCATTTGAAAAAAAAATATTCAGCTTGTTCGGTAGCTGAGTTTTTTTTGCTTTAAGTAAAAAAATGCTGTCAGTTGTACCCCACACAAGCCAGTGTTACTAGTGTTTAAGTATATCTATGACCAGTTTCTTCAAAAAAAGTTAGATTAGTAAAAATTTCACGCTTAGTTTCCTACATTGCACAAAAGGGTATTTTGTTCAAGTTTCAGGATTCTTTCAGCTACTAGAAGTGTTAGTAGCGCCTTCTGCAATGGAACACCAGAAAGCAGGCTGGCTACAACTGTTAATTGCCCTGTTTAAGTAAAAGGAAACAATCTCCATAATTATTCTACATGCTTGTAAGATTTAATTCTCCAGTGCAGCCACAGCAAGGTTACTGACAATCATGTTCACCAAAACATGTTTGTGCGTATACTCTTCCCTCATTTTGGCTGTAATTGAGAGATTAATAAGGCCTGTATCCAAGCAAACCCAAGTTCAAATTAAATGATTGCAAAGTGCTTCGATGATGAGGGAGGGTAATTAAAGACAGTTAAGCATGATTATAAGCTAATGTAAACAGGACACAAGACCCCCGGTGAAACATGCATCATACAGGCTTGTTGCATTTACATCAGTATCAAGTGATCCCAGATCATGATTTCTTACCTTCAAAACAGTTTCATTAAATAATTAGGAAAGTGCACAGGTACTTTATATCATGTAAGGTACTACGAAATGCAGGATACATCCGCTGCCACACTCTCAGCCCTCACATTCCCTGCCCTGCTCGGCCTGGATCTCTGCTGGGTTCACCCTCTTTTCATTCCATCCACTTACCAAGAAGCACAGCTGTGGCCAGTTGTGGATAAAATATCTATAGGTATAAATGGAGTAGGGTTCAGACAGATCTTTGGTGATCAGTCTCATGATATCGGGCATTTGCAGCTCGGATTCATATCGGACATATCGTATCGTCCGATCCTCCCCAGGCTCAACCTCCCTACCCGAGGGGCTTCTTAAACTGCAGCCGGCAGTCAGGGACGAAGACAGCAGCTGCACCTGCTCTTCTTCCTCCTCTTCCTGCTCGGTGCCCTCGGCGAGTCCATTGCGGGTGGCAGCGGGACCGCTCACCGTCGCTGCCTCTGCCGAGCTGGGGAGCGCAGTTCTTGCATTATTAGGCAGGGAGTTGGGGGGGCTCTCGCCCGAGTGTAGCCCAGCTCCTTTTGTTGCAGTCGCTCTGGGGCCCCCGTCGGGGGTGACCGCGGTTGTGGCTGAGTCGGCCGAGCTCAGGACCTTGCTCTTGAGGGAGGCGGCCGACCGGAGATGCCGCAGTTCGGGGCTGATCAATCCGTTGAGCTGCTGCTGCTCCTGCGGCGGCTGAGGGCAGCGAAGGCACGGATGCCCCTTGGCCGCCGCCACCGCCTCGCCGCCCGCCGGACTCCTGCAGCCGCCGCCTTCGTGCTCCTCGTCGTCCTCCTCGTCCTCGCTGCAGCAGGCGGGGGCGGCCCCCACCGGGAAGACACAGCCAGGCTCGGCCGCCGCCGGGGCCGGAGGTGCTGGCGGTGGGAGGAGGCTGCTAGGCCCAGGCGGTACCTCCGCCATCCTAGACGCGACACAGACCGAGAGAGGAGGCCATGAGACCCAGCCGACGAGCGCGGAGCACAGGGGGCGGCGGGTGGGGGGCGGCGAAGGTGGGGGGAACAAAGGCAGAAACCGTCCCTCGCAGAGCTGCCCCCCT